TATGAAGGCTTAGAACTAGGGTAGCGGGGTAGTGTTGCCTTAGTTTAGGTTTTAACCCATTTGACTTTATTCCTTCTCGTAGCTTGCTATCGTTGACACATGTGTATCATTCTCTTCATGTTTCCTCTTTTTAAATTTAGTCAGGTCTTATGTTTCTGTCTATATACAGAGATTTATTTGCAGGGATTACTTCCCATTACAGACGCTCATATTGAAGACTGCATATGAAGACTGTTCAACTATGCATTTATTTATTTATTTATACATGCATTGCATTTTTATCTTTATTTTTAATTTTCTGACTGCCGGAGGTCTTCCACGGAAGCTGCTCTCAGCCAGACGTTGGGGGCAGCCTACTACCCTACCTCCCCTTACCCCATTGTATATGGGAATAGGGTTTTGTTGTTGTTGTTGTTGTTGCTCTATCCCAAGAGGGACTCAAATAAGAACACTCCGCAACTATTTTAAAACACAAGATAACTAAAACTAAGTTTATTGAGGACACTCAATATTTCTAACCTTGCAATCCATTCCAATAGTTTGTTAAAGATTAACAATGCTCCTAAACAGTACATAAGTTGAACCAGTCATTTTCTGAACCTATTTTATTATCACATAGACTAGCTAGATGTCTCCATAAACTCCTAACTGAAGTGAATAAGATGTCAATTATGGATCATTCAGCACCCAACATCCCTTTAGACTCCTTCCCCCCACTCACAGGAAGATCTTCTTTTCTTTGTATTCAAATTAAAACTACAAATTCAAATTTTTGAAGCGTGGTATATTTTCAACTTAGATACTAAAATATATAAATTCAATAATAGCATAAGCATTATTTATCACCATTCCACTAATTTACTCCTACCGGACTCCAAGCAACTCCTGAATTAAACACCGATAGCAAAGTTAGAACACATGCAACATATTGCATTCAATCAAGAGTAACCCTATTACATTTGCTTGAAGTTCTCTGCTTATAACAAAATGTAAATAAACAATGCAAATCCACTCGAGCAGTGTGATAAAGAAAGAAATCAAAGTAGACTTACGCTTTACAGACACCTGCTATATCAGCCATTTCTACATATAAACCCCTTTGTCATCAAAGATAAAAACCAACCCAAAATCTAACCCCTCAAAACATTCACATCCCACCCATTCTTCGATTACAGTTCAGTACACAGTTCCATATTGCCAAAACAAGCCTCAAGAACTCAATTCCTGAAACAAAAATTAAAAACAAAACCTATGAATATCCTTATATAAAAAACATGTAAAAAACCCAAATCGCACACCAAAAAAATCCCACATTTCAAGATCTAATGATCCAATTAAAAGGATAATCTTTTTTTACCAAAAATTGAAATCATAATATGCTCATAAGCTCTTACAGTGAAAGAAAAAGCATAAACAAAGAGACACCTCAAAAAAGAACACAACAAATAAAGATTTCCTTTTTCTATAAGGTAAAAGAAAGGATATATTAAAGTGACATGCGAACAAAAACCAAAACAAAAAGAATCCTTACAAAACAAATTTAGCAACCACCCATTACAAAATTTCACTCTCCTGATAGTAAAATCACACCAACAACATTTACCTTACAAAAAACACACACCACAACAACTTGGTTTTCCCCCTTGCATTACATGCATTTATTCCTGTTGGAGAAGTGTTGTTTTTTTTAAATTTTCACCGCTTCGATTTCAGGAAGACCTTTCTCTTTCGTTAATTCGATAATTGTCTCCCTGTTTTCATTGAGAAACATGGATTTGTTTCCTCTGAGCTCTCAAAGAGATTGAAGAATAAAACTAAAGGTGTTCGTTAATGGAGGACTCTACTGTGTAATGTTTTTTTGTTATCATTTATATTTGTGTTTTTTTCACTTTTGATTATTAAATTCAAGTCATAATATATAATTATTTTTATTTTTATTTAATTAAGACATGATCGTTTTCGTTTTTATTTAATTAACATGTGGCCATCACATTTAGTTGAATTAACATAATATATAACGTGATAGTTAGTATAATATTTAGTCTTTATTATTTGTATATTCTCTCAATTTAGTAATATTTTAAATAAATTTTAACATCAAATATATATTTTTAACGAAAATAAAAATAAATATTTTTAAATTAAGTTAATAGTAAAATATATTTATTAAGTTAATAAAAATATATTTTTAAGTTAATATATATGGAATATTATGAATTTAAATATTTATACATTAAAAATACAAAATATATACACCATGTTGTTCACTTTAGACCAAACAATAGTTTTGGCTTAATGGTTGGATACATGTTTAGTTTCTTAAGTGGCAAAGGCTTGAATCTTTTGTGCCCCAATTTACTTTCATTTGTTTTCTTTCAACCAGAAGGTTACACATGCCATTCTTTGATTGGTGAAAATAAATATATTAAATTAAAATAAAGTTCTCCAACCGAATAGTGACACATAGTATGACATGTGACATCATTCGCTTGGAAGATTAATTTATTTAAAATGAGACTAAATTGAGAGAATATATAAATAACATATATAAAATGTGTGATTATATCAAAAAATTTAATTGTTATTAACGACAGTTAACTCAGGTGATCACATCTTAATTAAATAAAAACGGAAAGTGATCATATCTTGTGTTTTTTGAAATTAGTGACCAAAAATGAATAAATTAAAAATATAAATGATCATTTGTGTAGTTAAACTTTTTTTACATTTTTTTTACAGGTAAATTTAATTTCTTGAATCTTGATGAACATGGCTCGACAAAGCCCTATAGCTAAACTGGGCTGAGCCATTGTCGACCTTTAAAATAGTATCATAAAACCTATGTAGTCACAATGGGAAATTGAATTTCACCATCATTATAGCCTTAAGTGTGGCATTTTATCTGCACTAATATTGTTTATATATCTTAATTATATTATTTTTACCCTAAAATTCATTCATTAATTTTATCTTCTGATTGGCGTTAATAGTTACTATGCTAACATGAAAATTAGCTGTGTTCATGTGACCGTTCAATACGATAATGTTACGGTTCACATATAAACAGAGGCGGGTCTAGAGGGAGAATAAGTTGAGCGATGAAATAGGGCCCCAAAATAGCAAGGGCTCTAAAAAAAATTAGATTTATTACAATAAAAAATTTATTTTTTTGGTTTAACTCCACTTTACGAGAAATAAGCTCATCTTCATGATCTCCCTATCTCACACCGTTAGGATTTGAGTTAGTAATATCATCAATCTCCCTATATATACTGTATTCAAGCTTTGCAATTTTTACTAAGGAAATTTGCAAGGGCCTCGTTATAGTAAGGGCCTCTTTTTAAAAATTTGCACAGGACCTCCAAAATCTTAACCCCGACCCTGCATATAAATGATGATGTAATAGAATATTTAATTAATTTTCGGTAAAACTTTAGGATATAATTATTTTTAATTAAAACTTTGATGACTTATTTAATCTTTAGATAAAAGGGAAAATAAGCAATTACTAAAATTTTAAAAATGTAAGAAAATTATTAAAAAATAGTCTTTTTATAAAAAGGAACTACCATTTTCTAAATATATGATCGTTAGAAAAGAAAAGATCGATCATTTGTTTCAATGGATCCATTCTTTTGATAAATGGATTAATCTTATACGTAGCTTATTGTGAAAAATAGATCGATTCTTTTCTAGAAAAAATCAATTATTTTTATATTTTAAGTATAGAAAAAGATATTTTTAAACATAAAGATGATCATATTTGTTTTGATATTCTTTTGACTAAATTAGAAAAAAAAATTAAAACGTATTTTTCAATGCTTTTTAGATTTTGAATTGTTTTTTCAAATAGTTGACTAAATCTAAAAATACTTTTCATTTATTTCTTATATCAAAACATCAAAATTCAAATATTTAAAAGTAACCTTCCTTTCATATAATAAAATTTCTTTGAAAAACTATTTCTAACAACTGATGTCCCTTATAAAAAATTATTATTTTGTGTCGCGGCCGTTTTTTGATTGTGCCCGAAATTGGACTTCGACTTGAATGAAATGAGTTAGAGTTGCCACCGATCATTTAAAAAAATATTTAGGCTGGTCACACACCATCTTATCTGATCTACGTTTTACCAGAAATGTGTCGGGCTAGGGAGTCAGTTACAGTCAATGAAGGATTAACACCCTTGAACTGCCCTTTCGGTATCAATTAATTTGTCGATTGTCTTAATTGCGAAAAATTAAAAATTAAAATTTAAAAACCCGATTCGAATTGCTTACCTTTGATTGGTTGGAATTACTACTGGAAAAAATACGTTAGATGATAAAATAAAAATAAATATTAAAAAAAGATATTAATATAATAATAATAATAATAATAATAAAATAAATAAAATAGATAAATAAAAATAAATAAAATTTAGTAAAAAGAAGAATAATAAAATTAAATAATAAATAAATAATAAATAAAACAATAAGGGTAAACTACGTTAAATATCACTCATCTTTAAGCTCGGGCTCGAAAATGCCACTGACGTTTCAATTTTGTCAATTTTAGCACGGACGTTTATGTTTCATTTCAATTTTGCCATTTCGCCGTTAATCCGTTAATGGGACGATGACATGACAATTTTATTCTGTGACGGTGATGACATGGCAATTTTATTCCGTGACGGCGATGACATGGCTCCCTCATCAAAACGACGTCGTTTTGGCACGACCGTTTTGATATTCAAAAAGCTCAAAACGACGTCGTTTTGTTGATGAAAAAAATGTTTCCGTAGACATTTAGAATCCAAAAGTAAATACCCAACCATCAAGCTAACTTAATAACTTGGTATAATCTTAACAAAACTATCATAAATGGTCATCACTACCACCGTCATCCTCATTATCTTCCTCCATCCATAACACTTCTACTACTATTTTTCAATCATTATCTTTAACATCACAGCCTAGAATTCATATTTTTTTCTTAAAAAAACTTCATTTCTATTGCAGACGCTATACGAGGCTGGAGCACGCAGGGTTCTAGTGACGGGCACGGGACCGATGGGTTGTGTTCCAGCGGAACTGGCTATGCGTGGCACCAATGGCGGATGCTCCAAAGAACTACAACGTGCTGCGTCCTTGTACAATCCTCAACTTGTTCAAATGCTAAATGGACTCAACAAGCAGATAGGCAAAGATGTCTTCGTCAGTGCAAATACTCAGCATGCACAACGATTTCGTTAGCGACCCTCGAGCCTTCGGTACTTTCCTTGCTCCTAATTATTTCTTTTAAAACAAGGGGTTAACTTGAATCAATGTCGTGATGGTTGGAACAGGATTTGTAACATCGCAGATAGCGTGTTGTGGACAAGGACCTTACAACGGGCTCGGTCTGTGTACTGATCAGCTGTCGAACCTGTGTCCGAACAAAGCTGTGTATGCGTTTTGGGATCCATTCCATCCATCAGAGAAGGCTAACAGATTGATTGTGGAGCAAATAATGACTGGATCTAATGAGTACATTCACCCCATGAATCTAAGCAGCGTAATAGCAACGGATTCAAGGATCTGACAATAACTATTTCCTTTGGTTTTTCATGTGTGCAATGCAATAATTTGTTCCTTCAACTGTCATAAAAATGTTAAATTTCGAAGCAGTTTGCTTTTATCTTAACTGTAATGGAATTCGGATGATTGAAAAATAGTAGTAGAAGTGTTATGGATGGAGGAAGATAATGAGGGTGACGGTGGAAGTGATTAACATTTATAATAGTTTTGTCAAGATTATACAAAGTTTTTAAGTTAGCTTGGTGGTTGGGTATTTAGTTTTGGATTCTAAAGGTCTACGGTTTGAATCCAATGAAAAATATTTTTTTCATCAACAAAACGACGTCGTTTTGATGAGGGAACCATGTCATCGCCGTCATGGAATAAAATTGTCATGTCATCATCCCGTTAACGGATTAACGGCGGAGTGACAAAATTACAGTGAAACATAAACGCCCGTGCTAAAATTGACAAAATTGAAACGTCAGTGGCATTTTCGAGCCCGAGCTTAAAGATGAGTGGTATTTAATGTAGTTTACCCAAACAATAAATAAAAAAATAAAAAATGTTAAGAAAATAAATATTAGCCAAAAAATCGAAAAATAAATAAATAACAAAAAGGATCAAAATGCAAAAAAATTAAAATAACTGTGACTAAATAAAAAAATAATAGGGACTAATTAAAACATGCATAAATTCTTAGGCCATTTTCGAATAAAACATAAATTAGGGACTACAATGTAAACATAATAAATTCGAAATCCAAATTAAAATACTGAAAATTAAATTCAATGGCTAAAATGTAAAAGTTACAAATTACATGGACTGTGTACGAGGTTTGCCCATTCTTAAAATTACACAGAAGCCCCTCCCCAAAATGACGTCATTCAGGGAGGGATATTTATACCCGAAATTCGTCCCAAATGCCCTCATGCCTCTCATTTTCCATTTTCCATTTTCCATTTTCCATTTTCCCTTCTCTCTCTAAGAGAAACTTTCTCGCCTCTCTCTAGAGAGTCCCCACCGGGGGAAATCGGCCATCGCTGGCCGTCGTACTCCGACGCCGGCAACTACCGTCACCTCCTGTGGCCGGAAAAAACCTTACCTCAAAATGCTTCCCTTCAACCTCGTGAACCCGAAACCACAGTTCGATTACCACAAAAAAAGCCTCAATCGACCTAGATCTAAAAGGGAAGCTCTCGGGTTTTACCTTTTCCGGCGACCCTTCGTTTTTCCGGTGACTCCTTCTTCTCCGATACCTTTGGCTTTGCTTTTGCGTTGCTATTTTTTGGTTTTTCTCGTGGTGTTGTGTTTGCTGTTGTTATGGTTGTTTTTTGTTTGATCTTGCTGTCGTGTTTCTGTTGTTGTTGATGATTGTGGTGTGGTTGGTTTCCAATGTTGGTTCCGTTGGTATTCTTGTTCCCCTGTTGCATGGCCTTACCGGGGTATTTATAACCCCGGTGTTGGTCATTTTGGGTCCCGATCGAGACTAGATTCGTGCTGTTCCAATATTCTCCTACGCCGTGGGTTGTTGGTTAACCGAACACCCTGGGATTTCGGTCGAAAACTATTGACTGTTTAGGTATTGGCTGGCACGTGGTTCAATCTCGGTGAGGACTCTCTAGAGAGAGGCGAGAGAGTTTCTCTCTCTTAGAGAGAGAAGGGAAAATGGAAAATGGAAAATGGAAAATGGAAAATGGAAAATGGAAAATGGAAAATGGAAAATGAGAGACATGGGGGCATTTGGGCCGAAATTCAGGTATAAATACCCTCCCAGAAAGACGTCATTCTGGGGAAGGGTCTCTGTGTAATTTTGAGAATGGGCAAATCTCGTCCGCAGTTCCTGTAATTTGTAACTTTTACATTTTAGCTACTGAATTTAATTTTCAGCATTTTAATTTGGAATTCAAATTTATTATGTTTACATTTTAGCCTTAATTTATGTTTTATTCGAAAATGGCCTAGGAATTTATGTATGTTTTAATTTAGTCCCTATTATTTTTTTATTTAGCCACTGTTATTTTAATTTTTTACATTTTGATCCCTTTTGTTATTTATTTATTTTTTGGTTTTTTGGCTAATATTTATTTTCTTAACATTTTTTATCTATTGTTTTTTATTTTTTATTTCATTTTATTATTCTTCTTTTTACTAAATTTTATTTATTTTTATTTATCTATTTATTATTATTATTATATTAATATTTTTTTTTTCTTTTTTCATATTTATTTTTAATATCAGGTTTTTAAATTTTAATTTTAATTTTTCGCAATTAAGACAACCGACAAATTAATTGGTATCGAAAAAGCAATTCAAGGGTGCTAATCCTTCATTGACTGTAATTGACTCCTGAACTTGACACATTTCTGGTAAAATACAGATCAGGTAAGATGGTGTCCGATCAACCTAAATATGTTTTTTTAAATGATTGGTAGCGAATCTAACACATTTCATTCAAGTCGAAGCCCAATTCCGGGCCCAACCGAAAGACGATCGCGACAGCTTGGCGGTAGGGGTGTATTCGGTTCGGTTCGGTTCGGGTTTTTACCAAAAACTGAACCGAACCGAAATAAACGGTTTTTCAATATTTAAACCGAAACCGAATAGTTAAAAAACCAAAAAAATCGAAACCGATTTTTTCGGTTCGGTTCGGGTTTTTTAACGGTTCGGGTTTTTCAGTTCGGTTCGGTTCGGTTTTTCAGTTTTTCAATGAAAAAATCACTTGAAACTATAATTTTTTTTTACAAAAATTGCCTATTCGGTTTAATATGGAACAAATGGGTTCCATATGGAAAACCCGAACCGAACCGAATCAAAAAAATGAAGCCTTTAAATCGAACCGAAAACCGAACCGTTTAAAGCCAAACCAAACCGAACCGAACCGTTTTACTCGGTTCGTGTCGGTTTTTCGGTTTTCTCGGTTTCGTTGCTCACCCCTACTTGGCGGCTCCGATGGGGACAAGTAAGTGAGTCAGGCCGAAATTAATTTTCGGTTGTCTTTTTGAGCAAAAATTTCAATTTTAAATTTCAATTTATTTATTCGATTCCAATTATTTATTTTTGATTATTTTTCAAATAAATAGTTGTACTAACATTTTTTCAATGATTTCAGATCTTTAACTTTTTTCCATCTAATGCTCTATACCCGAGCTCTGAACCCTTTTAAGTGGGGGAAAAAGTGACGCCTTCGTGAGAATTTATTCTCCGTATAGGCCTAGCAAGTAACCTTCGGGATTCATATATCTTATGTCTCCGTGTGAATTTATTCACCGCATCTACATAAGGGAATGTATCCTCTCGAGTTTAACTTAGTCCACATAAGCTTGTAATGGGCTTAGGACTAAGGGTCTGGAAAGCCCAAGAGGGCACCAGCAAGGAGAACTCAGGTACCTTCTTTAGAACCTAAACCGGGAGACTACAGGGAATTAGGGCCCACCCCAAAACTTCATTTCAAAACCTAGGCTGTCTTGAGTTATTTCCTGCTGTTTACAGCATGCGAACTAGAAAGATATGCGGTTAGGACTTGTTCGAACTCAACTTACGGGATAAATATCATGTGGGGTAGGACTTTTATTTTCATTATTGTTTTGATTATTATCCTTACCTCACTAACTCTTTTCATTTTTGTTCTCTTTCATTTTATTTTCGTCATTTGCATCATTCAAAAGAGGTACTGATCCACAAAAAAACGTGTTTAATAAATGTAAATAATTTTCATTAATGGACAAATGGGTTATAATACAAGAGATGAAAATCTCAGAAGTCTGGCTAAGCTTAGAAGTCTGGCTATGGTATGAAAAGACTCAGAATGAATCGAGTTTACATTAAGCACATCAAAAGTCAACTTTTTAAAAATGGGTTGGTAAATGTTGCAGGGGCAAGACGAAAAAAGGTTACTGACATGGAGAGTCCCTTCAAAGGTAACAAGAACAAGATGGCAAAATGATAGCTAAAATTAGAGGCCATTTTTGATGAATTCAAGAAACAAACATATATACTTCGGATAGCTCCTAATGATGAAAGGCTCCAATGGCTTTTCCGTTAAGGAACAAACTCAGTAGATAGTGAAAACCAGAGATGCAGTCATTTGAGACTTCTTGGGACAGGTGCAAAAAGCAGCTTGTCACTTGCAGGGTTTAGCCAGAGAAGCCGGAGCGGTTCGATAGGGTATTCAACCGGTGATATACAGAGGCAGAAGGTGAGTTAACCTGTCAGAAGCTCTTCGGGGTCTAGAAGACTTAATGGGTTTTTTGTCTCTTAAGAAATAACACTTTTGTCCCCAATAAAGATTATTTACATTAATAGACACATTTTTGGATCAGTGCCTCGAAACTTCATGCATCATGCATTCTTGCATATTTTGTATTATTTTTTTCTCTTTTTCTCTTTTTTCATTACATTAACTAACAAGAGATGTCTCATAAAAAAAGATGAAAACAGGGACACTCCCGAAGCAAAAATTTGTGTGTTTGAGGGTACATCAAAAGGAGTCACGACAAGTGAAATGATCGAGAAATGGGGAGCAAATGCGGATGAAGGCCCTAATCCAATTAGATACTCAACATTCTAGAAATAATGAGGCATCCTAATGAGGCCATATTCCATTTGCAACATCCTGTTTGATTTTGTTTTTTTGAACTTTCTCATATTCTTTAGCAACTTGTTTTTTGAACTCTATTTTTATAAGGATATTTAAATGAATTTATGTTCAACATTGAATCAAATTTACAACTTGAAGTTATTTGAATATTAACTGAGTTTAGAAACTTTGTAAATGATTGGAGTTATAGATCTTTGATAAAGTGACATGATCAAATAATGACCCTTGGTTTTACCCTACAAGGAACACTCGAACACCATACTTTTTTCTTGCAAGAACTAATATAGCCATCTCCTTTCATAAGGGAATGAACAAGAGACTTGGTATTAGGTATGCATAGGAGTGGACAACATGGGGCATCTCTTGTGTATGACATTATTACACTTTTGTCAAGGACGTTCAATGATGATCATGATCTTTATAGA